GCCCCAGGGACACTAGGAGGGAAGAAAGCATTGACCCCAATAGGAAGCCTGCACAACCCTCCAGGGACAGCCTCTGAGCTGGGACCTGGGTTTGCTGGTCCTGAGCGCCCCCTGGTGTCCTGGACTCTCCCTGCAGCACAGCCCTGCTGTCTCCTCAGGGAGGTTTGTGTCTGGGCTCACACTGACTTCTCCTCACTGTGTATCTCGCACAGTAATACAAGGCCGTGTCCTCGGTGGTCACGGAGCTCAACTGCAGGGAGAACTGGTTCTTGGACGTGTCTCTGGAGATGGAGGTTCGGCTCTTGAGGGAGGGGCTGTAGGCAGTGTCTCCACTACTACATATGCGCCCAATCCACTCCAGCCCCTTCCCAGGGGGCTGGCAGATCCAGTTCCAGTAGTAACCACTGGTTGTGATGGAGAATCCAGAGAAAGAGCAGGTGAGGGAGAGGGTCTGTGAGGGCTTCACCAGTCCTGGGCCCGACTCCTGCAGCTGCACCTGGGACAGGACACCTGGGACAGAGAGAACACAGTGAGTCCTGGGCTCAGATGCAGGGTCCCCATCTCCTCACGTCTATGCCGTGAGTCACTCACATCTGGGAGCTGACAGCAGGAAGAGGAACAGCCACATGGGAGTCATGTCTTGCAGGTGAGGTCCTTGCCCCCCAGAAAGTATTCTCCAGGGTGAGGAGGCCCAGCATTTAAGTGGATGCCAAATGTGTTTATGTCTGGTGGCCATGTGGGCATTTGCATATGGGAGGTGTCTGCACATACAAAGGGCAAGAGGTGAGGGAGGTCCTGGTCTCTGGGGCTTCTCCTGGAAGGAGGTGCTGACTGTGCCCTCAGAGAACCAGGCCCTCCTTGGGGTCCTGGTCATGGTTCCCAGGGACCTCTCCTTCCACACCAGGGGCTTGTCTGCAGAAGGTGGTCAGGAAGTAGGATGTGGGCACAATCAGTGACTCCTTAGGGATAAAATCCCAGCCTCTGCTCCCATGGCTATAGATATACTACAGGCCGGATGCAGGAAATTTGTGAAAGTAGCTCGGCTCCACTACCTCTGTGGCTGCATCAGGAAGGATGTCCAGAAGGACATCCAGTCCAATTAGTATATTTGCTATTATTGTTTTAGAGGATTTAGACCTAGACATAGATATAGATATAGATATAGATATAGATATAGATATAGATATGGAGATAGACATAGATAGATCTTCTTTTCTTTATCCTCACCTAAGACTATTTTCATTAATTTATAGATAAAGATGTAGATGTATTTGTAGATGTACATAAAGGTATAGATATAAATATTGTTTTCTTTATCCTCACCCAAGGATATATTCATTCATTCTTAGAGGGAAAGTAAAGCAGAGAGATAGAAGGAGAGAAACATTGATGTGAGAGAGAAATATTGATCAGTTGCTTCCCATATATGACTCTATTGCAAATCAAATCTGCAACATTTTTATGTATTTATTTATTTTTTAAAAATTTAATTGATTTCAGAGAGGAAGGGAGAGAGAGATAGAAACATCAATGATGAGAGAGAATTATTGGTTGGCTGCCTCCTGCATGCCCCACACTGAGGATGTTTCCCACATCCCTGACATGTGCCCTGACTGGGAATTGAACCTTGACCTCCTGGTCCATACATCGACAATCAATCTGTGAGCCATGCTGGCTTGGCTGTTCCTGCACATTTAGGATTCACAGAGCTCCCTGTGTACCTGGTCTCTGGTCAGCAGGATGTAGGCAACATCATAGGTGACCAGGCCCCAGCCCTTTACTGACTGCCTTATGACCCCAGTGGCAACTGGCTTGTCCACCATGATGCTCTGCAGCTCGCAGGCCCCTTGGAGGTTCCCTTAGCACAGTGTGAGCTGTTGGAGGTGCTTTGAGCTCAGTGCTAAGCTGTGTCTCCACCTGACACAGGAGCGGCCACCATGGACTGTAATCACAGGTGGGCACTGCACCTGGGCTCAACAGGACTGCAGAGGGAGGGCCTGGCACAGGAGATGGCCATGAGGGGATGACATGGGGCTGCATTTAAGGCAAAACATACAAGGGTGGGAAGGAGAGGGCAGACACATCCACTCAGGACATCCTGTGCAGGCCCCAAGGAGTGAGAGTGTAGGCGGCAGGGACAGAGGGTGAGGATGGGGTGGTGTCTGCGGAGCGAGAGGCACAGCAGAGGTGGCTGGGACCATGTCACCCTTCAGCAGGTTCCAGAATGCAGGTGGTTCTCCAGGGGAAGTGGAACAGGTGTTGGGATAGGTCCCCAGGGACCAAGTTCTGAGACCCACGGGGAACATGCCCAGCAGGGCTGTGACAGGGCACGTCACTGGGTGTCCTTCTGGACTCTGTCTGGGACAGCCTAGGAGCTGAGTCCAACTGCCAGGCTCACGAAGGGGCAGCCCCCACAGGGGTCAGACCCTAAACCTCCATGTGCAGCCATGTCAATGAGAGGCAATCGGCTAACTGCCCCCCAAAGGGCTCCTCCTGGGGCAGAGAGAGGGGCTGATCATCAATGGTGAGGTTTGGGGCCTGGACTCCTTGTCCCCACTCAGCACTGCGTGGACGGTGGGGGGAATTTCTCTCAGTGAGGGGATGGGAATCCCTACAATGTTTTCATTGTCAACCCAGAGAGCGAACATCAGGCACATGGTGACAGGAAGGACCCAGATGAGAAGTCAACCAGATCTGACACACAGCCACTTCCTGCTTTTTTCCTGCAGAGAATCTAATTAAAGACACAAAGAAGGAAGAGGAACTGCCCCAGGGACACTAGGAGGGAAGAAAGCATTGACCCCAATAGGAAGCCTGCACAACCCTCCAGGGACAACCTCTGAGCTGGAACCTGGATTTTCTGGTCCTTAGCGCCCCCTGGTGTCCTGGATGCTCCGTGCAGCACAGCCCTGCTGTCTCCTCAGGGAGGTTTGTGTCTGGGCTCACACTGACTTCCCCTCACTGTGTCTCTTGCACAGTAATACACCACCATGTCCTAGGCTCTCAGGCTGCTCATTTGCAGATACAGCGAGTTCTTGGCATTGTCTCTGGAGATGCTGAAGCGGCCCTTCGCTGAGTCGGCATAGTATGTGCTACTACCACTATAATTAATGCCTGAGACCCACTCCAGCCCCTTCCCTGGAGCCTAGTGGACCCAGTTCATGTCGTAGCTACTGAAGGTGAATCCAAAGGCTGCACAGGAGAGTCTCAGAGACCCCCCAGGCTCCCCCAGGCCTCCCCCAGACTCCACCAGCTGCTCCTCACACTGGACACCTGCAAACACAGAGACACAAGGTGGACTGAGAATCACATGGAAGCACCAACAGGCACAGGCACAGGTCTCAGCGCTCCCCTCTCCTGAGAACGACCTTGGGAAATGATCAGGAGGAAAACGCAGCTTGGCACCAAGTCCATGGTGGAGCCGCTGGGGTCCTGCTGTCTCAGGTTGGGTTCTGGGTGTCTCCCCAACATGCTGGGCAAGGGCCCCCTTTTATGAGCCGGAGGAGAGCCCCATTTGCATGGAGGCTGCATATAAGGGTGCAACTGGGACCCTGGGCTGCATGCCTGACCTTATCACCCTAGGGGTGACCCCAGCTGGGAAAAGACTCAAGGATGCTGGCCTCAAGGGTTTCTTCCTGACCCTCCTTTCTCCCTCCTTTCCTGAGACCCCTCACTCTGACCCCATTCCTTTGGGGGCAGCTTCCAGAATTGAGAGTCCTCCTTCCTGGGGTTTTGATGAGGACCCAGGGGTGCTGCCCCAGAGGCGCGTGGATGTGGCTTCCTCTCGCTCTTCTTCATCCGCCGTTGGCCATGTCACCTTTTTGGGGTTTGGGAATAAGAATATGCATTGAATGATGCTTTCATTTTGAATCTGAATGATTCTCCTTGTTATTTTCTACAATGAGATCCTCCACAAAACTGGAACCTCTACATGTGAGGAGGCAGGAGAGGCTGGGCTGGAGGCTGTGGCCGCAGCCTCCATCTCAAACCTGCTGCCACTCTCACAAGCACATGGCTGCCTCCCGAAAACACACATTTCACTCAACTTCCCTGCTGTTCATGTGCAAAAGTTCTATTTCCAGCCTCTCAAATTGTGAGAATTTCCATCATTTACACATGGACCCTGGCGGGTGGGTCTCAGTGGTTGGTGCATCAGTGCCCACACCAAAGAGTGTGAACTTGTTAGAACTAGCTCATCCTTCCCAGGTAGCATATTTTTAATAATTGTGTGCACGTCCCACTCCACTTGGAGAAAACACGTGTATGAAAGCATGTTGTAAATGAAGAAAAGACAATAATTTGGTATAAGAAATGTCCTACCATGTAGAGAATATTTTATAAGATTTTTGGAGCCAAACTGATGACAACTGTGGGGGAGCAAGACCGCCAATGGCCTGGAGAATAACGGTTTGCAGCTGCGTTTGTGCATTTGAAGTTAAGGAGGGAAGGTGAGGAGTGACATGGAGGTGGGAGAGAGCAAGGCGGGGACTGGATGCCAGGATAGTGAACAGGAGGTTCTCTCTCTCTCTCTCTCTCTCTCTCTCTCCTAATCTTTATTGTTGAAAGTATTGCATAGGTCCCCTTTTCTCCCCATTATCCTTTCCCCGCTGGCTCCCATTCCCTCCCCCGGCCCTCACCACCCCATTGTCTGTGTCTAGGGTTACGCATATATGAAGACAAGTTCATTGGTTGATCTCTTCCCAACTACCCTCCCCACCCTTCCCTCTGAGGTTCCGTGGTCTGTTCATGCTTCTATGTCTCTGGGTCTATTTTTGTTCATCAGTTTATTTGGTCCATTAGCAATGCAGACTGGTGCAGCCACTATAGAAAACAATATGGAGTTTCCTCAAAAAATTAAAAATGGAATTCTTATTTGACCCAGTGATCCCACTGCTAGGAATACATCATAAGAAACCCAAAACACTCATCAGAAAGAATGCATGCACCACCATGTTCATAGCAGTGCAATTTATAACAGCTAAGCTTTGGAATCAGCCTAAGTTCCCATCAGCAGATGATTGAATAGAAAAACCATGGTACATCTACACCATGGAATGCTATGCAGCCATGAAAAAGAAAGAACTCTTACCATTTGCAACAGTAGGGGTCCGTCAGCTAAGGGGTTAATCTCCAAAATGTATAGGGACTCATACAATTAAATAAAAGGAAGACAACAATACAATTGAAAAATGGGCAAAGGGACTAATAGGTAAGTCTCCCAAGTGGACACACAGATGGCCGAGATGTGGATGTGCTCTCCTGAGGGTGGTCATGCTGATGTCAAAGGTGTGTTAACCCAGATGCACAGGAACAATGGACGGGGTGCTTAAGGCAAAGATGAGCCTTTTAGTAAAGAAGTCAGAGGCCTGGGCGTGCCCCCCACTACCTGCGCAGGTAGGATGTGTGATCAGAGCCTCCTGTAAGAGTCCTGTCAGTCACTGAGTTTTGTCAGATTTACAACAGAGCTCCCGTTTGTTTACAAATACAATCCCTAAAACTAGACCCAGAAATGGCTTTCTGTTAGCTCTGTTGGTGAGCCTTGGAGCAAAACTAATTTAAGATGGAGCATGAAATATTTTCTTTACTAAAGTCTTCAACTGCTCCTGGTCTTGTCCCCTGATGGTCCTGAGCGCCCCTGGTGTTCTAGACGTTATCTGCA